CACCCGCCCCACCCCCCCAGCAGAGTAGCATACATCCTTCTCAATTTTTTTTTTCCAGTTCAGCTCACATGCCTCTTTTTCCTTGTCATTTCAACTCTGTATCATCGCCCTCAATCAACAAGTAGTAATGAATTACTTACAGGCTTCCAAAGCATTGTATCCCTTTAATGGAGCACTTGCTCTGCATTGAATTCTGGGTGCACGTGGTCTGCAGAGCCAAATAATAACATCCGCAGGTGAAGGACAGTCTTCCTCATTTCTTTGTGTTTGTAACTCCTACATATTGCCTTGTTGAACTCAGCTGTTACTTTAAAGGTTAAGCATACATTTTGCATTTTGGTTCACACTGATAATATCTCAGAGGGTTGTCTAAATAAGCATCACAAAGTTGAATGTAACACAGCTTAGATAAAGTTGTTCACCACAAGACGTTGGGAGAGTCAGCATTCTACTTTGAGAGAAACTATATTAAATAGGTATTGGTGCATTTATTTTACTTGTTTTCTACACTAGATAGATAGGTCCAGAAATTAGAATTCGAGCCTGGAGCCCAGGAAGACCTTTCCATGTAGGGGATGGGAATCTTGGAAACCTCCCCCCTTCCTACCCCCTGCTCACTTCCATCTTGGGTTTCAAATGTTGGTTCCTTGGGGCAAGAGAGTGACAAAGCATGTTCCAGTATGTGCGCTCAGTGCGGTGGAGCCTCCTGTGTCCTTCTGTGAAGTGTGTGTTGCATGCAGGTATTTATGGAGGAAGGTGCTGTGACCTAGCCTGGCTGTGCTCCACTCAGGCCTCAGCTTCCTGCAGTGTGACTTGATGGACGCACACGAGCTAGCTTGGCTTCACTCAAGGGCTTGGGAACAGACCAGACCTTATTTTTCAGGTACTAGTCATGGATTCTTCAGGCCCCTTCTGGACCTTGCTCGTAGGGCATCTGTCTCCATGAGCAGCGTGTTCCAGTCCCTGGAAAAACCTGCCAGAATCCAAAGGCTTGATGGCTTACATTTGACTTTGAGGCCACCTGCACACTCAGCAAATTCTTGAGCTCTTTGGAAGGGAAGGTAGAAAGAAGCTGCAGAATTGTTTGTTGCTGTGGTTGAAATCTCTAGAAGGTTACACTAATTTAGAAAGTGGAATTGTTTTTTAAATGTGTTAGGAGGTTTGGGATTACATGGAACTGGCCAAAGGCTGTGCCCGTTGGTGAAGTAACACCTGGGAGTTGGTTTGCAGTTCGTGGAGGCCTTGAGGAATGGGCCTCTGGCTGCAGGGCCTTTGTCAGCTGCAAAGGCGAGAACAAATGCTCCCTCATTTCAGGGAACTGCGTTGTGCAAGGAATCATTGGGAGCTCTCAGAGAATGGCTTTGGAGGGATCTTTGACCGTGTCTTTAAACTTACTTGGTAGTGAGACCTCCCAGAGGACAATGCCGTGTTCTCCATCAGTCAGCAAACAATAAGAGAGCATATACCATATACCACTTGCAAGAAGTAGCAAAAGGCACACGTGTGGTGCCTGTCTTCAAGCTTTCCCAGGGCAGTAGCACCAGCGTACATTAAATGACTCCAGCAAAATACTAGGCAGTTGATGTTTAAGGGCTAGGTTGTGTGCTTTAGATCATAATTGCTGCGGCAGTTGAGGGGAGGAAGGACCGCGTAGGGCCAAGACGTGGCGGTCAACTAAGGAGGTAAATTGATCGGAGAGGACTTTACAGGAGTTGTGGAGGGGACTGTGAGGCTGGAGGATGACATTCTTCGCTGGGATTTGGAGAAGGAGGGTGACACATTCGCGGGATGCTGAGGGGACCAGTGAGACTGACGACACCTAAAAGAGGGTCTGACCGTAGGCAGCCTTTAAAACCAAACAAAACCAGAACTTGAAGCTATAGCCAAGGTGGTTCTGTGAGTGGCCTGCTGGACATGGAATGTAAGGACAGGTGATTCCCAGCTGTGTGAGTGTTGGTTGATAGTGGGGTGACAGTTTGAATGCCCTACAGTGTTTATACCTGTTTACCGGTGTTTACAGGTGTAAGGAAACTTCTGAGCCTGTTAGGTTGGTCTTCACCGATTCCGGATCTGATCTTAGGGAAGTAACTCATTATGGTGGAGGTGAAGCAGATGAGCAGATCACCAGGGTTTCCCCCAGAAAACTCCATTTTGCCTTAATTTGCTTTTCCTTCAACAATGAGGTCCTTTGCTATTGCTGCTGTTGAGTAAGGGAAAAAAGGTCTTCTTCAGGGTCACATTACCTAAAGGCCCCTGGACACTTACAAAGAAAGTAACAACATAAAACCATAGTGGGAAGGAGGTTTTTAGTGCCTGAGAAGCAAGCCAAAAGCAGTCACGTTCATAGAGAGAAAAGCAAAGATTTTTCTTGTTGACAAATGACATGTAGATTTTGTAAAGAAAAAGAAACCATTCTTGGTGAAATGGGTTATAGTCAGTATAGGGCAGAAATGTTGAACTGTCCAACTAGTATTTCAGAATTTCACCCTTTGTCAAGTGCAATACAAACAGACCTCCAGCTTTCCCTGCAGGGCTGGCCCCTAAGGGCCGCACTTGCCCCTCCCCACAGCGAGGTGACTTCTTTATGCTGACTTTAGCTTGTTTGCCATTGCTTTCGCCACCCTTCCCTTGAAGACTAAAGTTGCATGAGTGATAATCCTTAGACAAGACACTGGTTTGAAAGAAACAGGTGACTGCAAGTTACTAAGTTCAGAGGACCTTATATGATAATAGTCTTTGTGAAGCCCCCAGAAGCAACACATGTACATATTATACACTGTGGAGCCAGCAGAGTCCCTGAGTGGCACGGGCTCCCTTAAAAATCAGACCACTACTGAGGCCCTGGGCCTGAGCCACGCTTGAAGGGGCTCCTGGTGGAGTGGTATCTTGAGATCCCCTCCATTCTCCCAGGCCCTTGCTCCTGGGTATGGAGAGCCAAGGTGCATTGCAGTGACAAGGAATGGCCTAGTGCAGAGTTCCTCCCTGGGCTCCATATCAGAAGTATATCGACACACACACACATTCATACACTCCTTTGTATGCACATACGCAGACACACATATCCTTAGTTAGGCCTCAATTTTATTAGCAATCTGCTCTCTGTTTCCATTAGAGTTCTTAGTCATGTGATGAGTGTCACCCAAAGTTGTAACCTGCTAGCACATGCCATTCCTGACCCAGATCCACTGTTAAAAAAAAAAAAAAAAAAAAATCACACTTTCCTTTCTTGAAGCGTATGGCCCTCAGCACCTCTCTGACTCCGAGTTGGTAGGTAGTGGGACTAGGGTACCGAAATGTGTTTTTGTGTCTTTTGGTGTTTTGCCCGTATGTACTATTCTCTGCTAGCATAGGGCTTCTCACTTTGGCTGCACACTGGAGTCATTTGAGGAGCTTTATAAAATGTAAGTGTGTGGGCCCTGTCCCCAGAGATCTGATGGAAGAGGTCCAGGTGAGGCGTGGGTACTGGAATTTTTAAAATCCCAGGCAATTCTATCGTATGGCCAAAGTTGTCCCTTGCCCCTCTCCCAGTTTTCCACCTACATTTTCCACCTGCTTGAAGTAGAAGCCAGGTCAGGATCAGCCTTTGGATCTAGGCCACCGTGACTCCTAATTTTAGCCCTAGACCTTTAGATTGATCGATGTTGAGGATGAGGCCCAGAAGGAGACGGGGTTTCTTTCCAGGGTAGTCCTTGTAGGTTAGCCAAAAAGAGGATGCTGACGGGTAGTTGCCCTGTGCATTAGGACTGTAATTTTAGGCTGATCTTCACATACTCCGTCATTCTTACTTGGTTTATATTCATCTTTAAGATGAAATTTGCAGCTACATTATTTATTTTTAACTTTATAAGATAAATATTATAGTTGTCAGTTATAGTTGTCAGAAAGATTTTTCTCTCTAGTCCAAACATGCCTGCGATACATGAGAGCACACATATTAGTACAAATATTTCATAAGGTAAAGAAACTCAAAGATGATGACTGAATCCGCATCTTATGGCCTCAGAATAATTAGTCATTTACTACTAGCTATGGCCTTACGGGAAATAGGTAGATAACAAACCTAGCAAGAAACTTGAAATTACCAGTTTGAAGTGATTGCTGACAAACATTTTTCTTGTCATAGAATTATCTTTTAGGCAATGACTTTAAGTTAAAAAAGAAAATAACATGACTCTTTCCCCAGAGTAAACTAAGTTACTTTGCCAAAAAAAAAGCCTTAAACCGTGTGCAGGGAGAGAAGTCAGTGCCGCGGACCCATCCTGCCTTCTATGTGTTCCCACGACGTTGTGTGTGCGGTGTCAGTGCCATGGTAGTGGTATCTCAGGTTCAGTGACTGTGGGATTGAATACAGTGTCCGATTTCATTGAAGCAGGAAGCACACTTCAGTTTGTGTGTGGAGCAGATAAACTGGAGCTGAAAGTCCAGTGGCTGGCGGAGGGCCAGAGCCCCTGCCCCCAGCTCCACGCTGCCATGTGAGGTTCCAGGCACCTCAGAGTCGGGCTGGGTGCTCTGTCCTGGGCTGGGACACGGTCCCGCTAATACGGATCCTGGAGGAATGGCCACCCCTTTCTGTACCTTTTATGTATTCTGAGAGTCAGCTGCTCCTCTCCTCCTACGGTTGCTTTTCCAGTCTCTTCACGGCCCTGTTTTCTGTCCCCCTCCTTCCCTGTCCGGGACTTTGTGACTTCTCCAGAGTCACAGAGGACTTGACTTTTGCTGGTGGTGCCGCTGCCCTTGACCCTGGGCTGTGTGAAAGTGTCCGTGCCTGCACTGAGCACGTCTTGAAGATTGTTATTTTGACTTCATGGGTCATTTTGGTGAGTGGCCGGCCTGGTGATAATTCTGAATAGTAACTGTGGAATTTTATGAATCAAAAAGACAGGGCTCCCACTGCAAGTTGAAACGTGGAACAATGCGTCATGGACTCTTGTGAGTCACACAAGGAGGAGGGAGAGGACTTTATTGGCACTAACTGACACTTTGCTTTTTCTCCCCCGCAGGTCCTCCTCCTGCTTGCTACAGTCCCAATAGTCCTGCCCAGATTCTGGAAGACCCCAACTACTTTTTCCCAGACTTTCCACTCTATTCTGGGAGGCATGAAGCATCTGCCTTGACGGTGGAGCCAAACGGTACCATCAGGGAAAAAGTTGGTAAGTTCTTTCACTGGCACTTGTGTTGGAAACAAAATGATCTGATGTGTCCCACTTTTAGTTCTTTTGTATAATTTTTTCCCTCTATACTCATTTTAAAAAATCAGCATACAGGATTATTGGTTGTCTCTTTCTTGGCAGATGCCTTATTTTCAATATTTGTGCTATGGTGTTAATAGACTATTTTGCTATAATTTGTGACTCTCTCAACAAAGAGTTTCTAGGTATATAGGAATTCCAGAATTATACCATTTATTCCCTAACGTTTCTTCAATTCCTAAATATTTTTTGTACTCTTTCCCAGAGTCTTTCTTTTATTTTTTTTTTCCTTCTATACTTTATTTTAATCTTTTGGCAAATAATTCAGAAGTTCAGAAGAAATTCAAAACTACAATAGGGAGGTAGCTGCTTTGTAAAAACTCCCTGCCTATTTTTGAAGGCTTTTGGGATTGGTAAAATTATGATGGAATTGTTAAAACCACTCTGGGGAAGGATCTCAGGGTCCAAATGTGCTTATGAAAAGAGAATTTAATAGTTTTCATGCTTGATGAGACCTTGTTCCTTTAAAAAAAAAAGTATGTATGTATGTATGTATGTATGTATTAGCGAGAGGGGACGGGAGGGAGAAAGGGAGGGAGAGAAACATTGATGCTGCTCGTACGGACCCCCACCAGGGACCAAACGCACAACCCAGGCTGGGACTTGAACTGGCGACCTTTAGCTCTACGGGACAACACCCAACCAACTAAGCCACACTGGTCAGGGCCCCCATTCCTTTTATTATTCATCCAAAAATATAATTTTCCTCTGGAAATATATTTTGATTTCAATAGAATTTTTATTCATTGTATTAAAAATTAGTGATTTTTATCTGAATTTGCTTGTTCCCTTAACCCTTTTGGATCAGTCTGTGCCGAGGGCGAGGACTGCCCTTTGTCCTTGCCTGCCCCGGCACCTGTCAGCGCGCCTGGCCATATAGCGGGCTTTCTGTCCCTCTTCACTGAGTGAGAGATGATCCAGTTCAGCCCACATTGATCGTCTTCTCCTTGGGTTGTTCATCACTTACTACGATTATTTGGCACTCGTGTGGACTTTCACTGGTCTGTTTTTACTATTTAAATTTATTTACGGTCGAACTTTGGATTTATATTTCAGTTACAGTGTCCATTCTCTGGAGATAAGGAATAAGTTTGAATTTACTCCACATGCAGTCCTGTGAGGCAGATATGAAGTTGGCCCATTTTACAGAGGAGAGAGGTTCAGAGAAACTGAGTACTTTGTCTGAGGTCACAGAGGTGTGAGTTGAGCTTCAGGAACCAGTCTGTAAAGTTCTTTAATTTACTCAACAGTTTTTCCCAAAGGCCTTCTGTGGATCAGGGTAGTATTCTGGGTACTGGGGATGCTGTATTGAACTTAACAGATACAACTGCCCGTCCTCCGGTGCTTGAATTCTAGTAGAGGAAGACTGATAATAAATACAGCGTGGCTTGAAAAGAGAAGAGGCCAGAAGCAAGAGCTGTTAGAGGCTGTTCAGGACATTTAAGCCACTGCTAAGAGGAGCCAGAACTGGGGAGCAGCTGAGGGCATGGAAGCTAGGGTTGCAGTCTTTGCAATTTCAGGGACACTAAAAATGTCATCTGCTCTCACCTTTTCTCATATTTTAATGTCAAAAGGAATAAGTGGTATATAATCCTTGACAGACCTTGCCAATTCAAGACTGTAAACCTAATGACATGGTATACATACTTGTGTATACATGAATATATTTATTTAGATATCTTGTAAGCTTCTTATCCCACCTTTATTTTTCCTCATTTCACTGTGGACTAAGAAAACCTAAGTTGGCAGGTGATTAAATGTAGGGAGCAAAGGAGACAAAGGGTCAAAAGTAAATATGAAATTTCTATCAGGATGACTCACTCATATGAGGGTGCCATTTATAGGTTCAAAGAAAAGGCAACCTTGGGGAAGAAAGATGATTTGGGGGGAAATGACGTGTTGTGTATATATGGAAATACAGAGCCATCAGTGCGTGGAACTGTAGAACGGAAGGCTGCTTAGAGATGACCTAGTTCATCGTCCTCAGTTTATAGGTGAGGCTACTAAGCTAGAAGAGAGTAGGTGATTTGCTTAGAGTCATGCCAGTAGTGAGTGGTAGAATGTTTACTGTCATAATGTTATATGATATCCTCAAGGTACTACTTACTAGTACTGTTGTAAAATGGGGTAAATTTTATATTCTGCGGAAATTGTGTAGGTGTTCTTTTACTGGTAAAATGTTTGATCCCCCTCACTGGGTTGTGTGCTAGGGAGACCCTTATAGATAAAAAGGCATGATTCTTCCCTTTAAGGAGTTTAGAGTCTCGTGTAAATAACTAATTGCCACCTACTGTGATAGTGGCTCTACTGAGATATCTGCAAGTGGAGGGGGGCTCGAGCCTGCTGGGCTGCCGCAGGAAAGGGTTTCCTCAGAAGGTAGCTTTGGCGCCATCACATGAAGCATGGCTAGGAATTTCCCAGGAGGACATGGTGAGATACATCTTTCTAGGCAGAGGGGCAATGTGAGCAAAGGCCTAGAGGCCAGAGGGAGCCAGCCTGTCTGGGAATTATGTATGTTTTTAGGTATTGTTGGAGCTTAAACTCCCAGGGGTTGCCAGTGAGGGTGGGGTGGTGGCGGCATGGAGTGTTGCTGAATAGGTGAGGCAGTGCCTGCTCTACCACGGCATAGAAAGTCAGTTTCATCCTGTCATTATTGAGGATTTCTGTGCAGAGGATTGATGTGATTAGATTTTCCTATTTGAACAATCTTGCAGGGTAGTGCTGAGGATAGGTTGGGGTCTAAGGGTTGGGTTTGGAAACAGAAATGAGACACGTGTCAGGGAAATAGCTGAGCAGGCTGTTGGAATGAGTGGTCTGGGTATGAGATGCCGAGGGCTTATAATGGTATGAAATGAACCCAGATTTTGTTGTGAAATGAGTCAGATCCTGGCTCTGTCTCTTCCTACCTCTGTGACCTCTGTGCTTTACCTTTTCTAAATCTCTCCTAATCTGTAAGATTGGGGGAATTAATATCTACCTCATGATTGCATATGGAACGAATGACTATATGGACAGAATTTAGTACAGTGGCATATCACATGCACTTTAAAAATGGTTCTTGTATTGTGGTTATTCGTAATCTACTTGGAGATTGGCATGGGAGTGAAGAGGAGAGTTCGGGGAGACTTTTTGGAGGTAGAATTGCCAGGCAGTCAGTGACTAGATGTTGTGGCTAAGGAAGAGGAAGGGATTTTGGAAAACTCCCAGGTTCCTCGCTAGGCAGAAATTAGACAAGGCAGGGATACGGGGTTGGTCGGGTGGGTAAGCCTTTCGGGGTGAAGAAGGCATGTTGAATTTGAAGGAGTCGGGCCATTGGCTGGCGGCTGTGGATACGTGGGTCATGGGCCCGTCGTTGAAGATGAGCGGTGAATGTGACGACCCAGGAGATCCTGTCGAGTGAGGGTGGAAGCGCACTCAGGGCAGAGCCATGGGGAAAACCAGGATTTAAGGGGCAGGTGGAGGAAAAGGAGTCAGAGGAGCGAACAGAGAAGCAGGAGCCAGGGCCTGGTTGCCGAGTTAGGAGAGCATTTCAAGGAGTGGGTGATCAGCATGCCAGGTGCCTCAGAAGGGTTAGTTGTGTAATATGAGCACTGGAAAATTCTCACTGGGCTTGGTTGCTAATCAGAGCAGTAAGGAGGGCAGTGCGCGGACACAGCAAGTGTAGATGGCTCACTGAGGACAGTTAAAAGAGAAGGGAAGGGGAGAGGGAGGGTGGCAGTTAGAGGGACATGTAGGGCCATGAAAAGGTGGTTTCTTTTGTTTGGTTTTGGGTTTTGCATGTATTTTTTTAAGATAAGAAAGACTTGGCATGTTTCTATGAAGAAGAAAAGGGGACCCTGGGGAGATTAAAGGAAAGAGAGGGGTTGAAGGATGGAACTGGGCAGAAGAGGAAGCTGGAGGCGAGGGAAGGAAGAGTATTAGAGACAGTTTGAATTGGCGAACCACTTCCAGGAGAAACTGCAGGATACACAGAGGTGGTAGTGGATTTGAAATCTTGTTTCATGCTCCTGTGCTTAGAATGTTAATTATTTACCACTTCCTTATAGACCGATATTCCTGGGAAACAATCTGATACCTTTTTTCCTCTGTTTACCTTTCAGCGGAGGACCCTCTTTGTAACTTCCACTCCCCAAACTTCCTGAGGATCTCAGAGGTGGAAATGAGAGGTTCCGAGGATGCGGCAGCTGGAACAGTATTACAGCGGCTGATCCAGGAACAACTGCGGTATGGCACCCCGACCGAGAACATGAACTTGCTGGCCATTCAGCACCAGGCCACAGGGAGTGCAGGACCAGCCCACCCTACAAACAACTTTTCTTCCACGGAAAACCTCACTCAAGAAGACCCACAAATGGTCTACCAGTCGGCACGCCAGGAACCGCAGGGTCAAGAACACCAGGTGGACAATACGGTGATGGAGAAACAGGTCCGGTCCACGCAGCCTCAGCAGAACAACGAGGAACTGCCCACTTACGAGGAGGCCAAAGCACAGTCCCAGTTCTTTCGGGGTCAGCAGCAGCAGCAACAGCAGCAGCAGGGGGCTGTAGGTCATGGTTACTACATGGCTGGGGGCACCAGTCAGAAGTCCCGGACTGAGGGGAGGCCCACGGTGAACCGTGCCAACAGTGGGCAGGCGCACAAGGACGAGGCGCTGAAAGAACTGAAGCAGGGCCACGTCCGCTCTCTCAGTGAGAGAATCATGCAGTTGTCATTGGAGAGGAATGGTGCTAAGCAACACCTCCCTGGCTCAGGGAATGGCAAGGGGTTCAAGGCAGGAGGGGGACCCTCCCCAGCCCAGCCTGCAGGTAAAGTGCTGGATCCCCGCGGTCCTCCACCCGAGTACCCCTTCAAGACCAAGCAAATGATGTCCCCGGTCAGCAAGACCCAGGAGCATGGACTTTTCTACAGCGACCAGCACCCTGGGATGCTCCACGAGATGGTCAAGCCGTACCCTGCCCCTCAGCCTGCGAGAACAGAAGTGGCCGTTCTGAGGTACCAGCCGCCCCCAGAGTATGGGGTAACAAGGTGATTGTCAAGCCTAGACGTTTCACTTGGCTTTTCAAAATCCAGCGATCATGTGTTTGGCATTTGCTGTTTTCATGGCATATGAGGTTTTTGTTATCAGGTTTTTCTCCTGTGCATAATATTTAATAAGGCACTTTTTGGCCACAAATATAATGGAACAGAAGAGAGGGCAGTTGGGGATTCAGGAGTTTAGGGGAGGGGCCTCAGTTGTTGGCCATCCCTGGGAGCTCTGCCTGGCGGCCAGGCAAAGCAGGAATTTTCCTGGCCGGCCTTGTGGAGAACATCCCAACTCCTGGAACATATTATTACTACGAGGTTTTACAGTCTTTCTTCATTGTAGATTTTAAAGGAAAATGCAGTCTGAATGCTAAAACAGAGGACTTAAAGGGACCATAGAAATCATATAGTCCTACTCACTTATTAAACAGATGACAAGCTAAAGCCTGGAGAGATTAATAAATTTCCACAGTGCACACTCTGAGGCAGCTGGAGTTTGGCTCAAGTGTCCTGGTCGTCAACATCTTTTCCCTCCTTGCCCTAATTCCTCTTCTGACTGGCTGATAGACTCGACAACCCTTCCTGAGTGTGTATACTGTGCAGACCTGTCCCGGCCTCGGAGATAAAGATACGGTCTCAGGGAAACTGGCCTCTGAATGTGTCATTGCAGTGCAGTGTGCCGTTTTAGGGTAGAAGCGTGCGGAGAGCGCAGGGGGACCTGAGAGGATAGTGTGACTCACATCTGGAGGGAGTGGGGACAGCCTCTCTGAGGAGGTGACGTTTGAATTGGGTCAAAAGAATACGTAAGAATTGTGGGGTAGAGGTGAAATAGCAGGATGGATATATTATGCAGGGGGAATGTCATCTCCTCGGACAAACCATTTAGGTCCTAAATGTTAGGAGGTTTTGCTGGGACCGTGCTGCAGTGATGCAGAGCACTCGTGGGATGGGGCGTGGTAAGAAGTGGCAGAAGATGTGTTTGGACAGGGAAGTTGAGACCAGTGGGTGAAGGTCTGTAAGTGTCGTACTAAGGACTTTAGAATTTACCCGGAAACAACTGTTTTTAAGTAGAGACCATATTGATGTTTGATAGAAGGGCTGGCGTCAATGGCACTAAGGATGAATTGGAGGCAAGGGAGAATGGGGGCCATGGGGACCTTCAGGGACAGTCTCAGTAGTCCGGACGAGAATTGCTGAGGGTTGAGGCCCTGGGGCAGGGGAGCATTGTATGCTAAGAGAGGCAGGGAAATAGAATTGACAGGATTTAGTGATTGTCTAGATAGGAAAGTTGATGAATAGGGCGATTGAAAATAAGGCAACTGGAAATCAAGCTCTGAGGAGAGAAATTGGGTCTGAAGACACAAATTGGGGATTTGCCAGCATTTAGATGTTGCTAAATTTGCTTGCGGAGAGCATGGAGCGTGAGAAGAGGGGACAGGTGGCCACTGCCTATTTATTGGATATGTCTTCGTTCTCACAAAGGGCTTTATTTATCTGTCTCTAAATCGAATGTACTGAGGCTTCTCCATGCGACCCCAGTGGTTGTGTGCATACCTTGGCTGTACGTCGTCTGAAGAAGGAGTGACTGGGCCTTGGCCAGCAGAGAGATGGCCTGTCATCCGCTCACTTCCCAGCTGCTGGCGCTGTTCCCTCCACTAGGCTGGGAAGGCCAGCTCTGAAGCAGTATACCAACATTAGACTTCTGACAGCTGCAGAACACCTTCTTCCTGAAGTGGGCATGGTCTGACACCGCTCGGGAGTCCAAGATGGGGCTCTGGGGGCTCCTGTTCTTACCCTTTTACAGTTCCTTAGGCCAAAGGAGAAATTTAAACTCAAAAACTATCAGATTTGAAGAGGGGAAAAAAATAGTCTGCAAATCTCGGGTATTTGTACCACATTGGTTTACCATAGTTTAAGATAACCCATGGTGTTTACCCCAGAATGGTATCAGAGTTTGGTTTGTGATATTTCACATTTTTTTTCCTGAATATTTAACTAAACCTCTAGAGCTTGACAGAAGGTGAAAATATCCCCAAATGAGGTCTCTTCCTTCCCTTTAGCTTTAGAGTTTGATAAATGACAATGCATAATGTGGATTGGCTTTCTGTTTTTTTGTGGGGTTTTTTGCCTTTTTTTTTAGGAAGATTTTTTTCCCCATTTTTAAATCACTTTTTTTTTTAAGTTTGCTTTTTGTCACTTGGCAGTAGGTGTGATATAAGGTAGGAGGCATAGTAAGGGGAGGAGGGAAGCCCTTCTTAGAGGTCTACCCCTTTATTTCTGGAAAGTGTCATTTGTCTCAAATTTGTGACGTCAAAAAAAGAAGACATGTATGAGGGACTTGAGTCAGTAGCCAGGCCTGGCAGCTGGATGGACATGACATCAGAATATCCCAGGAGACGTAACAGACAGGCCATTGAGGCTGGGCCCCAGAGCTACAAGGCCCCTTTGTGAGCCTGGCCATGGCTCGCCAGCATGGCTCCAGCAGCACAGCCCTTGGTTGACAGGGTAAATAAAGTCGCATCCATACCGGTCCTGCTTCAGATGCATCCATTGTGGCCTGAACTCCCAGGGTTGGATCTGAAACTCAGCAGTGAGCGATGTTCAAGCTATCTTTGCCCCAAAAGATGAGCAGGACTCTGTCCAATTTCACTGACATATTTATTCCCTGGTGCTTAAAGGGCTGTCTGTCCTAAATGGTGACGGTTTAGAAAGCTGCAGGCTGCTGGGTCAATACTCCATAGACTCCTGGATGGGAAGGACGGACGGCCTGAGTGAGATCACTGAGCCTACCTCCCTGCCCGATGCTGCAAAAATGGGTGTAGTGTTTTACTGAAATTTATTCTCTCATCTGCTCTGATCTGCGAAAGACGGAGATGTGGGTGGATTATTGTAAAGCACTTTAGGTTCCTTTTGTGGGAAATGAAGAGGCCACTAGTGAAACCCTAGTGCACTCCCCTGGCATTGTTGTGGGTGAGCGAGTGAGGCTGCTGGAGGCGAAGGGACTAAGACGGCCTCACCTCACCGAGGTAGCTGTGGGGACTTGCAGGGCACATGAGCCGGCAATGGATAAAGGCTCTAGTTTGTTCTGCTTCATCTTCCTCTTCCTTCAACTTGAAAGTGGAAATGGGTAGAAATGAAGACAGGGTGAGGATGGGACAGGTTGTTCTGTGGAGCATTGTGCCTTTAAAAAAAAGGGTAAGCATTTCAATGTTAATCTGACTCACTTTGTGAAAACAGCACTTCCAGAAGCTGTGAATTGGCTTATACCATCTGTACTGTTAACAGAAGAGAATGCATGAAATGAATATCAGTAGATGATCTGATTTTTATCAAAGCAGCTTGGAGTACCTTAGTCAAATGCATGTTTATTTTTCAAAAAAATCTGCCCATATTTCCAAAGTGGAAACTAAAGATGCTAAAAAATTACTTAATAGATCCTGCTTTCTTAATATAACCACTGTTAACATTTTTCCTATACACACTAATTTTTTCATGTTATAATCGTAGATTCTACTCAGTTTAGTATCTTAGCTTTCTTTAGATAGTATTTTATCACTTTTTTTCTCACAGTGTTTGTTTCTATAGTTTTATTCATGCATTTCATAAAGTATATAATTTATATCACTTTATAAATAATGTTGCAAACATCATCAAGCATATCAAATTTTCCATATTTTGGTTTCATTCTTTAGGAATCATTTAGAAATGAAATTGTTGGGTAAAATTGTAATGAATATTTAATGACTTCTGATACTGGACAGCTTTGTAAAAATATTATAGTGCCTGTTTCACAATACTTTGACCAACGTTAGGTCATTATATTAGAAAAGCTTTGCTAATTAGTTTTAACTCCTTATTTTAATTTGCAGTTATCAGCTAGGTTAAATTTTGGGTGGGTATATTTTAGTAGTTAGATTTATTTGATCTTGAAAATTGGTTCTTCATGTTTGTGTTCGTTTGATTTATTGTATATATTTAATGGATTCGGAGTAATCTGAAACCTGTGTTCTCCAATACTTGCTCTGATTTTCAGTTTCTAGAATTCCGTTTCCACCCCTAGCAGGTAACAGTGGAGCACAGGCAGTAGCAAGAGGACTCAACCTTCAAGTGTCTGCTGTGTGCCAGGCACTTCGTGTGGGTCGTCTGTAACCTTCACAGCAGTCCTAAGTGGGGCATACATTACTAGTCATGCCCCTATTCTTACAGATGATAAAATTTAGGCTTAGCGAGAAAGGTTCAAGTGCTTTAGTCATGGACACCAGCTGGAAGTGCACAGGAGCCAGGTGCAAACCTCAATCTGTTTGTCACACACTGCATGTGGAAGCAAAGATTTACATTTCTACGTGGTGTCATTCATCTTGTGAATTTCACATCAGGTTTATATATCACACTTGGTGTCCAGCCTGTACTCCGCCTACACCTCTGGCTCTTTTCAGGAGGACCGGAGTACTGATTAAGTGTTCCAGACTTCAGGAGGAAAGTCCTCCGGATATCCTTTCTCTCCGGACATCCAGCCTAACCTTGCTGACAGCTCCAGGCTATGAGCTTGAGTGTGTCTCGAGTTTGCTTTCATGTGGAAGTGGGGACTTGGGAGAATATTGTTTATTTGCCTTACCCTCTTTTTAGCAGAATGTGGAAGTTATGGAAGATAAGCACTATTTTAATGATTAAATTTTATGTTTCAGGCAGTATGAGTTTGGAAAAAGTCACTCATGCTGGTAAAAAGAGCATTTCTCCTCTCTTGGAGCCTCTCCAATGCCTTTTTCGCCCTCTATCCGGGCTGAATCTTGCCCATTCAGCATAGGGGGTTTGATTTACTCGTTGCCTGAAAGTAGAGAGAAGAGTGATAACTGTCACTATCAGTATTTTATTCATTTATGAATATATAAAATTGATTTTTAGCATGTAGGTAAACGATAAAAGCGTAAAATGCCCTTCTGTCCTAAACTGATAAATACATCTTACAAGATGGCGTCCGAGGCGGAGGTGCCGTGGCTTTCCTT